GCCACACTGGAAGATTTAACAAGTAACATATCAATTATCACAAGCTCATCCAAGTAAATGCAATTTTGATCATGGAAAAATATGCAAAATACTACAATATATTAGTTATAGTAAAAAATTACGGTCTTTTATTACTCTACCATATTTGATTTCATGCAAATCTCTTGAATCCAATACATCTCACTAGAGAAAGCCCCATTACAGGAGAAAAAATAATTCATCCATGTCTCAATAACAAGCAAATACCACAATACAATATAAGTGTCCATCGAATAATTCGTGGAACTTTAAGAAACAGAATGAACTCAAAATCTCATGCATAATCAGCAAAGCCCAAAATACATTTGGTTAAATAACACAAAATAGTGCCAATTTGCTAAGAACTTTATTCCATATAGCGATTTCTTCTATTTGCGTTTAGAAGTATTAAATGTACGATTTAAAGAAACAACAAGATATCACCACATAAATAAAAGTTGGAGCTCCATGGAAAATAATTAGGATCAATTGGAGTAATTAACTAGTTACAAATAGTATATCAATATTCAATTATTCAATAGTGTCAATTTGCTAAGACTTAAAGGATATCACAGAATATCCATTTCATAACAATAACATTGCAATTAACATGGCATTTAAATATTTTTCAGCAAGTAAATACTTAAATGTCTAATTTCCGATAGCAATTTTTATTAAATTGTCATCTTTCCTTCCAATTATGAGCTCAACACAAATTAGAATCCAAAAGAATCATAGCTTGAGTCAAGAAGCAAAAACCCCCTCAAACAATAAGTGAAACATAACTAGAAGACAATTGTGGTATTTTATTTTCTAGGAAAAAAACAAGAATTTGCGTGTTGCAATTTGCCACAATTTCATCATGTAATTTCTTTATAGGAGCAACTCTAATTTTCGTGAAAACGCATAATCGTGTGTAGCCTCAAACAGGAGTAAGTCATGTTCAAACAACAAAAGCATACATAAATCAAATTTGAAATTACCTATGGTGTTGTGTACCCCAAGTCTGCTTATAAGCCCATCTGTATTTGTTCAATATCTCACACTCAGAATACTCCACTACATTTTTTGTTGTTGCCAATTTGCTTATAAATCTACATCATGAAGAATAAAACAAAGAAATAACATGTTTTCAAATTTGTAGTTACAAGAAGAAAGTTGAATTTGTAAGTAACTTTTTGTGTAATTCAAGGCAACAATGAAAAATATAAAGAGAAAATTGAATTCCAAAACTTAATCACAATATACAAGAAACATGAATAAAATAAAGGTCTAAATAAGCCTACTCTATCGGTATAATTCTTGCGGCACTAATTTCTCTAAACTTTTTTGCATAAAATCGTAGTAAAAATGAAAAATTAAGGAAACATTCATACCTGAGAATAGCCCACTATGAAATTGGTTCTTAGAAGTGCTTGTTCACGTATGTGTGCTTTTTCACGAGTTTCAATTCTATCAATCTTGGAAAATGGATGAAACCTTCATACCAAATTTCTCCTTTCGCTCAAGAAGACGAAGACAACCGATTTTGAATGGTAGAAGGATTTGGAGATGACAAAACCACGAAGAGGAAATTTGGGGATCGTGAAGAGAGAATAAAGATATTAGATTTAGGGTTTTGGGAATTGAATTGATTTGAGAAAATGGGAAATTAGGTTTTCTAGTGATGTTGAATAAGGGTATATTAGGTAGTTTATAAATTATGATTTTAATATTTATTTTAAAAATATTATTCTGGGCAAAGGCTAAAATCTCAGAGTGTATTATATTATGAAATAGGCTATTTTACACAATTACCACCTAAGGGATTTAGAGTGCTAACAACTTGTGTTGAAGCTCAACGTAGTGATTATGCCTTTTGGTTGAATATCTAGGTCCTTCATGATGAAAAATATTGATGTTCTTATTTACTTTAGTATTTGTGATTATTTCTGGGACCGACATGTTTCTATGAAAGAAGATAAAGTTGAGGTATGTGATTGAAGATATATTAATGGGATTTTCAAATTAGCGTGAATGACTCACACAAGATAAATTAATGATACATTAGGGATATTCCGTTAGTACTCTTGGGTAAAATTTAAAAGAGAAATGTATAAATACAACAAAATAGGGCATAATTGAAATTTTATATTAAATCTAGTAAACTAAATAAATTAATTATAGTTAGAGGTCGTAATTTCCACTTAAAAAAAAAAAAAGGCTTGGCATCAGAAGCCAAAAAATTCGTTGGACGGCCCCAAGTTACAACTCACTGTTAATGGGAAATTGTCAAATATTCAAAAATAGCACTCATAGACACATCTCTAGTTTCTGTTCTTGTTCATAGACTCACAGAATGCATCGAGCTGTGGACAAAAGAGAGTGAACTAAGTTCAATATTTTTGGGTTATTATCATTTTGCATATCAATAATATTTGAACTATTTAAAATTTCTAGTTAAATATGTTTACTTATAAATTAATTTCTTATTTGCTACATATTTAGCATTAGTAAATAATAAAATATTGTGTTTGGTCAATTTTTGACATCTAGTTGCACTTCAACTTCAGTAATTGTCTCTAATGTTTAAGGCAACTAACATTTTCTTTGATCACTTGTCTGCCAGATAGGGTTTGAGTTCATGTTCCTGTACTGTAGTAGAAGTACAGAGAAAAGACATGATATGGAGTTTTTCATTCATATATCTATAATATATTACAAAATTGTTGCTCATGTATGAATTCACTATTATTAATTCTAATTAATTCAGATTCATTTAATTAATATTCATCTGCATATATACATTTTTGTTTTATTGATTCTAATTTAATTAAAATTTCACATTCAAGAATGCACTTCATTATTCACGTTGATGTATTCTAATTAGTATCCAGATTCACTTAATTGAAAATTAAATTATATTCATTTAGTATAATGATTTAACATTCATTGTCACGTATATATATTCCTTGATAGTAATATTAAATTAATTAAAGTTCACATTAATTCATGTATTGTATTTGCTTTAACCATTTGAATAGCATTTCATGAATCGTTTTGCCAACATTTAGTTATCATCAATGTACATTTGATAGATTCATTTTACTTGTATGCTTTCACCACATGAAACTCAATTACAAATTTTAATAAATAAAATGAAATCCTTGTTAAAGCTTGTCATTCATTTAATTAATTTTCATCCTCCAATATTACTTTTACAACAGTTATAAAGTATTTCATAATAACGTACTATGCATGTTCAACCCTAACTAATAGTTACAAAAAGGTATTAATGTTTTTATGAGAATCTTACTGTATTTATAATGTCTATGTAAATGACACAAAATAGTCAGCCACCGCGCGCAATTATAGCCGACAGACAAGATTATGATCTCTCAATTAATCACTGTGTAACATAAATTAATGACTTTGTTATGGTAATGCAGTTAGCCCATTCTCTATAATTTAGTATTTTAGTGCCTCTTCTGTAGCATGTTGTGGATTTATTAGCCTGTTTTCTTTCACATAAAATACTACCCCATGTGCTTCCTCATTTATCTCATAATTATCTAAAACTGAATATGATTTAGAGGTGTCAATGGACTATGGAATTTATTTTATTTTATCTTTCTATCAATGCTTTCTTTCTTTTTTTCCCTTCTAAAATTACATGCCCAGTTGCCCACATTTGTACGTATGTCCCAGTTTACAAGTTTGTGCAGGCAAGTATATGATGGGCTTGAGTTGTGTCCGACAATTCGACACATTTTAACACTTTTAAATATGGTTCTTATAAATAGTATCTAAATATGATTTCTATGTGATAAATATTTAATAAAATCATGAATTTACGTAATTAAAATCCTTTATGTCTAGCAACGTTGTTGCAAGATGGAAGTTTCAGACGTTGTCTTCAACATTCAATCGAGGGATTTTGTTGGGTTATAAAGTTTAATTATAATTAACAAGACTGGATTAGCATTGAACTTGGACTCCTTGTTAATTAAGCAAGCAAAGGAACATTATTTGGAACTGACGTGGGCAAAGGTCAACTTATGAGATCTGATCACCTCTTGTCCTTGAAATCGAAACATCCTAACATTTTAAAAGCATTATTACATGCCTCGACTGCCATGACTTTCTTCCGAAACGATCAAGCCAAACCATTGGATGCAGCAAGCAACGATGTTATCCGAGGCGAGGCATCACCTATATTTTGCAGTATGATTCTGAGGTGATTGACATCTTAAATGAGGGGCATCTTTCACAAGCCTCGCATCGACCAAGTCTCAGTTACATAGCATGCTACAAAAGTTGATTGATGTAACACTTTTGTGACAGCTCTATAGTGGCACCGTTAAGTCAAATGACAACTTTTCTGCCTATGTTCAAGCCATGGAGGCCTCCGGCCTATGATGGCTAAGGATTATTAGCTAAAGAATGACATTATTTAGCTTGACCACTGAGCTGTCAAAGCGGCCACATGTCAAACGTTCATTGGACTCTACTCATCTCTCTTAGTTATAAATACTTGTACGTTGATTTGTCTCTGAAGCTATGAATTTACATATTATTTCGAGCATACCGCTATTTTTGTAATGTATGTTTCTGGAAAATTTAGTGTAACTTTTATTATAAACTGACAAGAAGCTCCAACACTGCCATTGATAGAAGCGACCACCAATTCCCGCATTGATTTCAGTTTTCTCTCTCCCTCACTTCCTCTCAACATAAATGATACAATGTTCTTCTACTTCATTTCTATTTAAGGTTGCAGGTCCAGCAAACCTTTGTATCCTATGTAATCCGCAACAAAAACATCTATTTCCCCATTTTAAATATTTAACCTGTATTTTGTTTGTATAAATTTAAAGGGGTGGATGAGGGGAGAGTTTCTATATAACCTAGACTTCCTATCTCCAGTACGAGACATCCCTTACAACTTACCAACTTAATCAATTAATTTCTTGCTTTTTCTTCCTCTCTTCTACTCATTAGCCATGAATTATGAACCTAGTACTTGTCTAAGTTTGGGTTTAACAAAGAATGATCATTTAAACCTAGACCTAGTACTGGACCTTTCTTCTCCAATTTCTTCACCATCATCAACATGTAGTCCGCACGAGCCATTACGAGTATTTTCTTGTAACTATTGTAGAAGGAAGTTTTACAGTTCACAAGCTCTTGGAGGACATCAAAATGCTCACAAAATGGAGAGAACTTTAGCCAAGGAAAGCAAAGAATTAATTAAGCCTCATGCCGGGTTGAGTCGACAGGTTCGATCTGGCTTCAGCAAGCTCAACAACAAGCATTGGCCAATCCCAAGGCTTGATGATCGTGAACAAACAGGCGGGTTTAAGTATAACATAGAGAATGGAAGAAACGTTGAAAATTATGGTAATTGGAACGCGGAATGCAACTCTCAAAGTGTTCATGAAGAGCTTAATCACCTTGATTTGTCTCTGAAGCTATGATTCAACCCATGTATATTTCATGTACGTTGTGAAAGTTTAAGGTGTCAAGGAGAGTTGACACATGTATTTATTTATGTTGAAGATAAATTTTAAATAAAGAAATTTGTACTCTCTAACTAGCTTTTAGGTTTATGAGGCTCACGTTGTTTGGTCATTAATTATATGTAAATCATCAGCTAATTAATGTCTAAAAGAGAGCATGGCCAGATTAATCAGAACTCAGATTGAGAAAATATGTTTATGACGAAATTTCTGTGTAGTTGTGATCAGCAGTATTTCAATTCCATTTTTATTTTTTCTTTTCTTTTCTTTTGGTGTGTGTGTGTCCGATTTGAAATGATAAAAGGACATTAACCTATACTATAGAGATAAAGGTTTATTTTGTGTAACTTCCTTAAATATTATTTAATTAAGCATACAATATTACGTCCTTTTTATTTTATTTTTTTAAAACTCATTTTTTTCTAAACTCGTTTTCAATCCCATTTCATGAGATCCATAATTTTTCAATCACATATCAACTTTTTTTAAAATTTTGATCTTTATAAAAAACAAACAGGTGTTAAATGTCATATTTTGAAAAAGTACCGGATGGACTATAGAGGTCGACGACCAAGAATTTAGTAGTAAATTTTTTTTTTTTTTTTTCATTTCTAATTATAACCCATTGAACCTACCGAACATATGTTCAGAATATGTTTGAAAATACTGGACAAGAAATAAAAAAACAAGAATTTATTTTTTAAATATGTTCATGTTCTTTAGACATGTTTCTCTTATATGTCGAATCAAATCTTAACTCCAGCCAATAAGTCAGCATTGGACCAGCCAATTCCTTGACTTTGATCCATATTGATGATAGGTACTAGAGTTGTGCTGCTGTGCCAGGTCTGTAAAAGATCTGGCACAGCCATGTGAGATAGGGTGGGTGGGTGTTTTAACATTTTTGGGGGGTTTTTTTAATGAGTTAGGTTCTCGGGACCCACCTCATGTGAGATAGTCTGTACAAAATCTGTGAACCAAAATCTGGTAGAGTAGAATAATTCTTCACCAAAACACTCCAAGAGAAAAAAAAAAATATCATGTGAGATAGTCTGTACAAAATCTGTAAACCTAAATCTGGTAGAGTAGAATAATTCTAGGTACTAACTTCAATTATTCACTAACATAAATCGCGCTTTAGCTTTGGAAAAATAGCAAAAGTTAAACTATAAACTAACGACTTCAACCATAAACCACAACGAAAGTGATCAACCCCAATGAGAAACTTGACAACCCCAACGGAAGGTGGCTCCAACATGGACACCCCTCCGGCAACTGATTAAGGGTGGTCGTCTAGTTCGCCATTACCAAGTTAATGTCACATAAAAAGATTTCGATTATAGTTTTTCATGCGATAACCCATGTTGACTTGACCATAAAACAAAGAATCTCTTAGCATACTTCTTAACACGTCAATTGGTCGAGATTGACCACCGCTTAAGGATAGCGATCAACCAAACCAGGCCACTCGCCAAAAGTCTAGCTCGACAATCCCCTCTAGCAAACAAGTGGCCTACACAACCATTACCTACCGATCAAGCTCCGCTCTCCGATGATGGCGAGGCCTATGTGGACACCCATCGATCACCTTCATAAGCTGATCACCCATTCGGAAGCAATTAAGGAAGTTGGATGGCTGGCTATCTCGCCCAACACAATATTTTTGTAGAGACTATTTGTGTAGTCTCCTCGTCAAAAATGGAGGTCATCATGTTTTGCCACTTATCCTCTCGACACTCGCTAATCTTATGACATGTGTCTCCCCTCCCCCCCTCTATGGATCTTCTGTAACATGTCTTTACTAGATGCTTTGTATGAAATGGTTGCGAGTTCACCTTGTCTAGTACGGTGTTCTGGCTACTCCAATCAACAGTTGCTACCTGCAAAAACAGGTCGGTGCTTTCTCGCCCGTTGTACCTCCGTCGTGAGAATTGGTCACTGGTTTTAGAGAAATAAGGGGAAAGTATAGTGCGAATTCACGTAGTTTTGTTTCAAGAAGGAAAACATTTCTCACCTTAGAGGTATTTATAGGTACCTGTGGCTAGGCGTGCGTTTGGCGGTTGCTGGTGTCCCACATAAGCCTCCCCTTTCCCCCACGTTCGGGTATAATGACTCCCACTCCTCAAGTGGTTGGTTGTTCCCACGTTCGAAGTGGGACGATTTTTGTCTGACACATCTTCATTGTTTGGTTAAGTGTGGCATTGATCTCATGCAATAGACATGGGGGTCTACGACTTCACGCGATAGGCATGGGGGTCGTAGGATGGCCTCATGGTGGTAGGTGGTCTCATGGGGGTCAACGAACCTACAGGGTTGACGGTCCAGTGGAGGTAGACAGCCTTATACTAGTAGTTGGGCCGCTGAATGTAGAGGGCCTCATGGGGGTTGACGATCNTGAAACTTCAACTGTCCGGTAGAAGGCCTTAGAGTGCGAATTTGGGGTTGGAAACGTCCTCAACCGAGGTTCCCCCGTTGACACGTCGTAGAGCTCTGAGAGACGTTTCCGAAAACATATTATAATAGAAAATCTGACACTGGTGCAAAAGGTTATGACCGTTTCTTCGAAACAGTACTTTTATCCAATTTTTCGGTTCAATTCTCATTCAAACTCTAATTCCAATTGGTTTTCAGTTTTTGGGGGAAATTTCTCCCCAAAAGCACCAAGTTTTTTCAAAGCCTTCCACTATTTAAGAGGTTGTGGGGCTCTCATCATCTCCTTTCACTCTTTTGCCGTACTTTCAATCTTTTCATATTCTCACAAGGTAATCTCTTTTTTCCTTCTATTTTTGTCTAGCATATTTTTCTCCATGTATAAAACGTTCATCTCTTCACCTTCCGAAGAAAATGGGAGTGAGGGTGCGAGAGGGTCGGAGTCGACCAGCCTTGATGGTCGACGGGTGAAGTCGACCAGCAAGGCTGGTCGACTTGTTGGCCTGCCCGGGGTCGGTCGTAGGTTTGCCTCCATCGATGATTCCTCTCGTGTGATAGGACAAATCCCTACCGAGTCAAACATTTCAATATATTCGGCTGAATTTCAAGATTTCCAACTGATTCCCCTAAAGCGTCATGTTGGGTCCACTAAATCTTTAAATCAAAACGTAGAAATTAGACGAGATACCGCGGGTGAGGAGATGATTCTTGAGATTCCTAAGTGTCATAGCTTATTCAACTCCCCATCCAAGTTAGAAAAGTCACTTAATAAGTATGAGCGGGTAGATAACTACATCTATAGAGTCCCTAGGCCTGATGAAACACTTCCCGGAACCAACCCCCGTGAAGTCGTCGTTTATAAAGACATCATGGACGGTGGTTTTCGCTTTCCCATACATCCTTTCTTTATCTCGTTATTCAATGGGTTCCACCGTTCTCCTAGCTAAATAAATCCCAATGCGTGGAGAAAAGTTCTTTATTTTTTGTATGTTTGCCTTAGGAAGAAAATTCCTCTTTTAATCGATCTCTTCAAGTGCGTTTTCGAGATGCACGAGTTAACCCAAAGCAATGCCTTTATCTATTTCACCACTCGGGTCCCGTTGCGCTTCCCTAAGTTTAGGAATTCCAATGGCGAGTGGAAGTCCCGATTTTTCTTTGCTCGTCCCCATGAAGGCCAATTTCCTTTTAACACCTATTGGAGCACCCCCTAATTCGTCTTTTCAATAGTGAGGTCGAGATTACCCCCCTTTTGAAAACACAAATCCAAAAGTTGACCAAAATTCCACCCCTCGCGCCTGACCTGGGGTCGGTTCTGACAATGAGGAACATGTTGCTAGTTGGGATCGGTCGTCCTACTGGTAGGTTTTCATACCCTGCTTGTATATATTATTTTTTAGAGTATCTCTTGTGTTGTTTCCTATTAGATGAGCTTGATTAACTCAATTGTTTGCACACAGATATGGATCTTNCCTCACGAGGGCCAATTTCCGTTTTACACCTATTGGAGGCAGCCCCTAATTCGTCTTTTCAATAGCGAAGTCGAGATCACCCCTGTGCTGAAAACACAAATCCAAAAGTTGACCAAAATTCCACCCCTCGCGCCTGACCTGGGGTCGGTTCTGACAATGAGGAACATGTTGCTAGTTGGGATCGGTCGTCCTACTGGTAGGTTTTCATACCCTGCTTGTATATATTATTTTTTAGAGTATCTCTTGTGTTGTTTCCTATTAGATGAGCTTGATTAACTAAATTGTTTGCACACAGATATGGATCTTAAATTGGACGAGGTATTGAGGTCCCTGCTCGAACTAGGGAGTGATGAGGGGTTTGTTCCTATTGATGGTAAAATTTTTACATGTCTCATTATTCTTGCACCTCTTGACTTGTTATTTCGTAAGCTTGATAATCTTTATTCTATTGATGTAGGCATGGACTTCAACTTAGGAGAAACCATGGACTCCTTGGCGGAGTGCGGTCGCGAGAGTGACGATGATCCATTTCCAGCCCCGTTGAAGAGGAAGAAGGCCTGCGATGGAGGAGCACAACAGCCTACGGCCGAGGGGGATTCTCAACTTTAGGACGACCCTGTCGAAGTAGACCCGCCACCAGTGGACGTAGGGGGCAGTCCAGGTCATGTCGAGCACGAGCGTGAGGGTTCTCCTCTACTAGATTTCAGATTTTCTCCTTCTCAGGGCTATTCGGAGATGAGGGCGGTTAAGTCTTTGGTTACGCCCAGACATGTCCAATCGATTGCTTGTCAGAGTGCCGACGACATCGAGAGGATTTTGTCAGTTCACACCCAGAGGGTACTTTTTTTTTTGTACATGCCCTAATTGTGTGATCTCTTGTCCCTTTCAGGTAGTGGCTCTTTAAGTTGGGCTCGTCGAGTCTTGCTGTCGTTTAGCGTCGGATTTGAAGGAGTTGAAGGTCTTTGCAGAAGAGAAAGAGAAGGAGGCTCACCGTTACAAGAAGAAACTCTCTTCCTCTAGGAAGTCGGTCGAGGATTTGGAATCTCGTTCTATGGAGTA